GAACCCAGGAGTCCTGACTTCCAGCTCCCGCCCCCCAACTCACCAGACCTCATTCCCCTGCCAGAGCTGGAGACAGAACCCAGGAGTCCTGACTTCCAGCTCCCGCCCCCCAACTCACCAGACCTCATTCCCCTGCCAGAGCTGGAGACAGAACCCAGGAGTCCTGACTTCCAGCTCCCGCCCCCCAACTCACCAGACCTCATTCCCCTGCCAGAGCTGGAGAGAGAACCCAGGAGTCCCTGGCTCCCAGCCCCCCCCGAACTAACCCACCAGACCCCACTCCCCTCCCAGAGCTGGAGACAGAACCCAGGAGTCAGAACCCACCCGGGGAGGAAGGTACCTTGCTTGCTCTGCCATCTGAGTCCTTGCTCTGGCTGGCTGCCCTTCCAGCTGCTGTTCCTCTCCTTTGGCCACCCCGCCAGCCACTCGTCCACCAGCTGACTGTCAGTCACCTTGTGCTGCCACCTGCTGTGACCTCTTCAGGTCCGTCTCTTAGTGATTGACAGCTCTTTGCAGGCTGGGCAGACACACTGCCCCACCAGCAGTGATTTCCGCTCTCATTTGAGCACTTTAAAATAACAAAAGGCTCTTAGTGAACTTTGAACAGTCAGGAGGAACAGGTTCAACTAGACTGAGAACTCTGAGGGAGAAACTGCACCTCCTAGCAAAGACACCTGTGCCCACCCCTTTTACTTTCACAGGGCTCGGGAATTCGAGCCCCTGGCTTAACGAGGTCCTTTCAGCAGAGGGTGACCCCCTCATTTGGGACAGGTTAAGCACAGTTCTGCTCACCTTTATTCGTACAATAAAGGCAACAACATTGATAACATGTCACTATCCCTGCATTCAGTACTAAAGTGATTTCTATCCCAACATCAGCCATAGTTGATCACTTTGAGCAACACAGCTCCTGTCTGCTGGATATCTTGGCAGAGTAGGTGTGGTCACGTCAATACAATTTGCTCCTCAAGTCTCTCCTCCTCCCAGCTGTCAGGGGAGAGCTCTTTCAGACCCTGCTTATACATGGCACAGTAGCTCCCAGCTTGGCTTCCGCAGGGGACTAGGGGGTTGGTGAGCTGCCCCAGTGACCCCAATCCCCGGTGTCAGCTGTCTGCCTGGCCTGGGAATGTCGCCCAGCCAGTCCCCCCATTGCCTCCCTCTTCTCCCCCTTCTAGGGAAACCGCTTCTTGGGCCTCCACCCCGACCCGTTTTCACTCTCCCTGTATCCAGCCTGCCCCCTGTCACAGCCTTATTGGCCCCTCGGTCCTTCCCTGGGTCCCATGCAGTTGACACATCCCCCTTGTGTTTCCACAACTTGATGCCGCTGGCTTGTGCGGAATGGGGTGATGTCTCCTGAAATGGCCAGGAAGCCTTCCCAAGGGGACTCACCTGGTTCTGCTGTGTGCGTCTGCGTGTGTGTGTGTGTGTGTGGCTAAACTCCAGGGTGTCAGTGTGTGTACCTCAGGGGTGTGCGGGTCCTTTGTGTTGTCTTTGTTGTGTAAATGACCAAGGATAGAACAGCCCAAGGAAATTCACAGTATTCTTGGGGTTATTTACTTTTTATTATTGTGGGTAATGAGAGATAGACCTGTCCTAGACAGACAGACACTATATAGACAAATGGTGATGGTACAGGCAGACACTATCTAGATAGACACAATCTAAACCAACAGACAGACACAATAGAGACACATGGTTTTATGCAACACATTAAGAGACAGACAACCTAGACAGGCACAATTTAGACAGAGGGGCAGAAACAATCTTGTCAGACAGACAAGGCAAACTACACAGCCAGGCATATACAGTCTAGACAGCCAGAT